CCCTTCTAATCCCAAACACCTGCACCCATCCTAGATTCCTAATCCCAAACCCACTGTCCTGAAACCATAAACTACATTCGACAAAATACACATCCAATTTGACCCTAAACCCTAAAGAACAAAAACCCATTGAAAAATTGAATTTAAGAAACCTCACCTGTATTTTGGGCCTCCTGTGTCTCTGTGTGTGTCGCCGGAAGAATGCCTTTGAACTGGACAAATGAGCGGTGTTCAAGTGGATGGACTCGAATGAAGAGTGGGTTCGAACTAGAAGGAGGAGCGGGGAGAAGCGGCGTTCGAATTTTAGAGAGTGAGGGTGATCCGGACTGAGAGATAGAAGGGGAGTGAGATAGAAATAGGGTAGAATTTTAATTATTATTGTAAGTAGTCGACACAATTTTTATTATAATAACTATTTTTTAATTAATATTATAAGAGTTAGTGGGCACAATTGTGTATTGCAGTGGTGGAAAGCCAATTTTTTGAATTTGGTGGTGGGAATTGCACCATAAAAGAGAGGGAGAAGTCCAAAACCTTTAATATTACTGTATTCTGCCGCTCAAGCGAAGGTGGTATTACTTTTTTCGATTATCCAAGCGAGCCACCAAATAAGAACAGAAAAAAAAACATATATAAAATTCAAATACCTGAAGAAAGCCACAATAGATGTGCGATTTGGAGCAAAACGAGGAGTTGAGTAGGAACTAAGCACCGGCCGTTCAGAAATTACTGGGATAAAGATAATTTTGTGTTTGTAGTTATGATTCCTCTGCCCAGATGGGCAGGCTTGGATTTTCCTTTGCCCAGATGTGCAGCTACATTTACAGAAACCCAAACTGAATATGTTAGATTTACAGACACCCCAATTGATCAATTCTGAAAAGGAATGGGATAAGTACCTGAAATCGGAAAGAATCGAGGGAAGTGAGAAAAGGGTACAGGTGGGAATTCAGGAATTCTGAATTCGCATTGAAGGAAGCCTAAAAAGTGCCAACTTTTGGATGAAGAAAGTTTGTTCCTTTTCCGTGGAATGAAGCTACGGCGCCAAGCAAGCTTGGATTAGCAAATTAGCATGATCAAAGGCTTGCGTGTCAGGCTTGATTTGTTCTTTCATTTTTTTTCCTTTTTCTTTTATTTTTTCTTTTCTTTTACTGGTAAAGTGTCATAATGCTTGCGTTGACACGTTGTGAATTCACTGATTTGTGCGGTATGAACCAGACGAGAAACATAATTATAAACCAAAAAATATACAATGCTGAGAGTATCTATATCATGGGCCAATTAGAAAGAAAACATTATTATATTGTAATACTACATAAGTTGATAAGCGTACCCATTAGGAGTCAAGCATAGCATAAGATAATTATATTTTTCACACACCAATGAAATATAACATAATACAAAATATATTAATTGTCCTCGTCGTCACTGCTTAAAATCTCAACGGTAACATTCTGCATATTTCGTGACGTCATCTGTGGGACAGACAGGCCTGTAGGACGAACTTGTGCTTCATAAGTGCGTGGTTCTTCAATAATAAGGACAGAACTAGTAGACTCTTTAGTTGTTGTTTCAGCAGAAACCAAATTGACAGGGTATTGTTCTGTCCTACCTGGGTTTGCCCATGCTGGCAATACACGTCCTTGAGGTGCACGTACATAGCCGTTATTGGAGGGTAGTGCGTAGCCAAGGCGACCATCAGCAACAGTAGTAAGAATGTACTAATTATCAATAGAACGAGGTATGCGCCCGCCATTAATAGGTTGTCTTGGACGTTGAGCTGGAGGATTCATTGTGGAATTTGCTGTTGTAATGTTGGAAGCAATAGATGAATGTGATGCTGGAGATTCAGTTCCAATTCTAACTCCACGACGTCGCCTGTCTGCCATTTTGAATGATGTAGAACTTGATCAAATTCAAAAGAAACACAAGTGTATGAAGCAACCTTCTAATTTTCCATATACAAATTAGTAAGGGAGTGTGGAGGTTTTATACCAGAATTTGGGCACAAATCCATAATTGTGCCAACATATTCCTTTGCTACAGAGTGATTTATTATTTATTAATATTTACTGGACACAATTTCTAACATTTGTGTCAGAAAAAGGAATTTATAATTATTAAGATATATTCTCTATTTGAAGACTCAATGACAGTAGAGTGATTTATTATGTTTTTAATATTTAGTGGGCACAATTTCTATTATTAGTGTCATAAAAAGGAATCTACAATTATTAACTCATTTGTCTACCAACACTAAGGGCACAATTGTTGGTTATGTGTCACTGCATAAAGGACTTTTAATACAGTAAAAAATAATAATTGTTGGTTATGTGTCACTGCATAAAGGACTTTTAATACAGTAAAAAAAATTGTTGCTTCTGTGTCACTGCATAAAGGTCTTTTAATACAGTAAAAAAAAAAAAGCACTTACTATAAAACCAAAAACCATATCACCAAGTATAAAAACCAAACCTGCAAGAAGATAACAATCCAAAAAGCAGTTCAAAAATATACGAATCTAACAAACATTCATTGCAGCAGGAAATGATCATTTGTTAATCTAAAACACGTCACTTAGTACTATGGTGTAGTGGTATTCTTCTTTACTTGTAATTGAGAGATCTGAGGTTCGGCTCTCGCCAAAAACGAATTTGAACAACATTATTGCTAACTTATTTTGAGGCTAAAATATTGTACAGTAATAACCAGCTCCATACCATTATTTACCACAATTTTATAAATTTTAATTATTGGTGTGCTAGAGGGGGTAAAGACAAACGAGAGAGAACATATAGTGCCTCTGACAAATAATTTTTATAGACACAAAATGTTTTTTGTGCCCATCTTTCGTAAAAAAGTTGTCATCTAACCCCACTGGGCACGGTTTCCGTGCCCATTACCGTTTTGTGTCTGCTTTTTTTAACATTGGGCACAATAGATGGTGCCCTCTATGAAATGGGAACTGTTTAACCTTTTTGGTGGTCAAACTGACACAAATTTCTTAATTGTGCCCTTTGTTTTGTACCCAAAGCTCATTTTTCTTGTAGTGTTCTTACGGAATTTTTTAGGTAAACTTGAACTGGGGTTTTGTTGTTTTTAATGTAGGAGCACGATAATCAACAAGTCTAAGTTGCTCCGACTATTTTACTGCAAGCATGGCAGATGGTTCTTGCGGGTTCTAGCAATGGGTCTAGTGATTGTCCATGAGAAATCTTGGGAGGTTTGTTTGGAGGAGATGGCTGTGGACCTTTATAAACGTGTTAAATGTAAGATGGTTTGACAAATATCCTCCGAATCAACTGTTATGGCTCCCCAAGGGTTGAACATCTTGATTAGGCCTATAAAAGCAAATTTTACGCTGTTGGACAGGAACCACCGTGGAAACTTGCTACTCTCGGGATCAGAAAATAAGCATTCCCTTGTCGGTCTTCCTTGAAGTTTTGCCCTCAAGATAATTCCATCAGGAAGTACGAGCTTCCTTAGAAGTTCAAAATCATGCTTCCCTGGATTGTCACTACATGCTATATAAATAAATAAACATGTTTCATTGGAAAAACTTTGTCATGGTTGAATATTATCATATCAGAAACTGACATGTAGTCATAAGTTCATAACCAAAGACCATACCTGACGCAAATTGCACATCCCCCAACTGCGCGAGCTACTCCATGATATTCGGCAATTGGGTGCAGGCTCTACCATTCACAACAAATCCAAAATAAAAATCATCTGACGCCCTTTTAACAGCCGTCCCCTCACACTGTCAACATTTGGGATATGTTTTGATGGTAAGCTACTTTAAGTAATTGATCCAAAGAATAAACTAGCTATCCTCCATAACCTACACACGCTACATGCTGCATGTCAGTGTCAAATTCACAATGTAATCCAAAAAAATTCGGGTAAGGTTCCCTCAATCTCTCTGCATGGATTAGGAACAGAAAATGATCCTGGGAAAGCAGTAAACCCAACAACAACAAAAAAAACCTACAGAAAGAGCAAGTCTCTATGCTTTTGATGCCCCATGAACCTAAGCTACGATTCACTGGTGGTTCGGGCACAACAGCAGAAAGACCAGCCCACAGAAGGCCACGGTATGGAACAAAAGCTGAGGTAAGATGAGCTGCAAGACGGTAACAACATTACTACAGAGTACAGACTACAGAGCTGATTTAAAGACCAGATTGTGTTACCGTGTAACACCACCACCAAGTATCACCATACTAAACACCCAAAATTTAACTTATAACAATCTAAACTTTCAATTACTTTCATGCAATGATCAAAACCCTAGATCAATAAGAAAATATCCTTAACCAAACTCGGAAACATAGACAACTACACCCTTATATGTTACTGATTTCAAGATTTTATAACTTCCTCATTGATTATGTTGGAAAATTTAAATTATTATTATTATAATATTAAATTTATTAATTGAATGGAAATTAAAAGTGGAGCCTTTTGGTAGAAAGATATGTATATTCAAATGAAGAGTTGTAACTTTTGACTCTTCATGAATAGTCATATGTTTTCCAAAGAAATATCTCAAATTCTATAAATAGGGAACCTAATCATTTATAACTTTTAATCATACATGTGCACTAAATATTATAGTGTCTCATTGAGTCCGTATGAGAGAGTTTTCAACGCAATCGTGGTTCATGGAGCCTTGTGATTAGGAGTGCTACTATTACAAGGACGTGGTCATTGTATCTTGGGAGATAAGCGCGGATCAACCATATGAGCATACTTGGGCATAAACTTGTCCTAAGAACAAAGTGTCTAACACTTGCCTCGACCGTATTTCCAGGTTTTTCTAACGCTTATATTATGTTCATTTAACATTGGTTACTAATGTGCATACATTATTTTGATATATAATTGCATGAAATATTTCTTGATTTTCTATGTGATTTAATATAGTAATTTAGACCCTATTTTTTCAACGGATTACAAATTGTGAAGTTTCAGATTTTCATTAACTTTCGGGGTAAACTTTACAAGCCTTTATACACCAAGAGGTCTACAGAATATAGGGGTTCCTATAGCAGCTATATAATACAATTAAATACAAAGTACATTTAAATGATAACAACTCATCCTGACTGCCTTAACAGCTCATCCTAACTGCTCTTGTCTACACTCCCCCGCAAACTTGACGCCGGAGAGGAGACAAGTTTGGAACACAAGGACTGAAAACGCGTCTTCGATAGGCCTTTCGTAAAAAGATCAGCCAGTTGCGAAATGGAAGGAAGAAAGTGAACACGATGAGTTCCGGAAGCAACACGTTCCCGGACGAAATGATAATCCAAAGCAATGTGTTTCGTGCGAGCATGAAAGACCGGATTAGCAGCCATATATGTGGCACTCAGATTGTCACAATGCATCAGTATTGGCTCAAAGACTGGTACACGAAGCTCACGCAAAAGACCTGCTATCCAAATAGAATCAGCACATGCAAAGGCAAGAGCCCGATACTCCGCTTCGGCACTGGATCGAGAGACCGTCCGTTGTTTCTTAGCACACCAAGAAATCAGATTGTCACCAAGGAAAATACAAAAGCCAGTGGTAGAACGACGTGTGCCAGGGCACCCTGCCCAATCCGCATCAGAATAAGCAATGAGACGAAATGGTTGTGAAGATGAAGTTAAGCGAAGGCCCATACCCAAGCTGCCCTTAAGATAACGCAATATTCGCTTAACCGCTTCCATGTGAGCAGTAGTAGGATGACCCATAAACTGAGAAACATTTTGTACATCAAAGGAAATGTCCGGCCGAGTTAACGTAAGATACTGCAAGGAACCCACAAGCTGCCTATAAAGAGATGGATCCGAGAGGGGAGCACCGGTGTGTGCAGAAAGTTGAGTCTTGGCTGCTATAGGGGTGGAACAAGGTTTACATTCTAATAAGTCACCACGTTGTAATAATTCCAAGGTATATTTGTTCTGAGACAAGTGAATACCATTGGATAAATAGGATACCTTAATGCCAAGGAAGTAGTGCAGCTTGCCGAGATCCTTTAGTTCAAACTCAGTGCTCAAAGTTTGGATAAAGGATTGAATAAAAGGAGAGGAATTACCAGTCAAAACGATGTCATCCACGTATAGAAGAAAAACAAGGATAGTGGAGCCATGATGATAAGTAAACATCGAACTATCTGCTCGACTTTGAACAAAGCCGACCTGCATGAGAAAGGTGTTTAGGCGTTGAAACCAAGCTCGCGGAGCTTGTTTAAGACCGTAGATGGCTTTCCGAAGCTTACAAACATAATTGGGACGACTTGGATCAACAAACCCAGGGGGTTGGGCCATATAAACCTCTTACATAAGTGAACCATGGAGAAAGGCGTTCTTCACGTCAAGTTGATGTATCGGCCAACCAAAGGACACGGCTACGCTGAGCACTGTTCGAATCGTGGTAGGCTTCACAACGGGACTAAAGGTCTCTGTGTAATCAACCCCAGGTTGTTGATGGAAACCTTTGGCAACAAGACGCGCCTTGTAACGCTCTATCGACCCATCAGAATGACGTTTTATTTTGAACACCCATTTACATCCGACAATGTTAGCATAAGGAACGGGAGGAATTAAAGTTCATGTACCTTGTTTGAGCAACGCATTGAACTCATCCAGCATGGCCTTGCACCACTGAGGAGACCGTGAGGCCTGTGTAAAACAAGTGGGCTCCGTATCGGATTCAACAAGGGCAGTCATCGCAGAGGGAATAGGATGACGACTAGCAAAGTAGGCCTTGGTTTTGGGTTTGAAAATGCCAGACTTGGACCGTGTGTGAGGTCCTGAGGAAGGAGCATGAGCCACGCTACTAGCTGGCAACTGAGATGTATGTGGATGTGATTGGTGCAGCTGAGTTGCAGCAGGAATTGACGTAGGAAGAGGGGCAGAGGTGTGGACAGCAACTAGTTCCATATTTTGAGGCATAGTCACGGGTGGTGCAGGTAGTAGTGGTTCCACGCCACCAGCTGGCAAGGGAGATGTATGTGGATGAGAAGGCATGGTCACGGGTGGTGTATGCATATTTTGTTGCTGAATTGCAGCAGGAAAGAACGCTGCCAGATTTTGAGGCAAAGTCACGGGTTGCATTAAGGGCAACATGGGTGACAAGGCATGGTGGGGTTGAGGTGGGGCAGGTATGGGGACAATGGGAACAAATACCAAGTCTGATTGTTGCACGGAAGACGATGCCATAGAAGAGTGGAATGGAAAATCATCTTCATTGAACGTAACATGGTGGGACAGGTAGACACGTCCAGTTGGGGGATGGAAGCAACGATAGCCTTTATATTTGTCACTATAGCCAAGAAAAACACATGACAATGATCTGGGTTGTAGTTTGTTAGTTGCATAATCACCAAGATATGGGAAACAAGCACACCCAAACGTGCGCAAAAACATATAATCAGGAGCTCGGCCAAATAAAATTTGAAACGGAGAAGCCCACTTGAGAACAGGAGTGGGTAGCCGATTAATTATATAAACAGCGGTGCAAAGTGCCTCAACCCAAAATTTATGCGGAATACTGGCAGCAAGTAACATGGTGCGTCCCATTTCTGAGATATGACGGTGCTTCCGTTATGCAAGTCCATTTTGCTGTGGGGTATGTGGACAAGAAAATCTATGGTGAATCCCCTTATGCGCACACAATTGACGAAAGGACAAATTATCATATTCTTTACCCCCATCACTTTGGAGTATTTTAACCATTGTAGAAAACTGATTAAAAATGAAAGTAATAAAATTGTTAAAGTGATTAAAGACCTCAGACTTCTTACGCATGGGATAAATCCATGTGTATCGTGTGTAATCATCCGTAAACAAGACATAGTAACGAAAACCCGACACCGACACAATAGGAGACATCCAAACATCAGAATGTATTAATTCAAAAAGGGTCATAGCAAAGTGTTCGGAAGACGTAAATGCTAGGCGATGGGATTTAGCCAACGCACAGTAATTACAAAAATCTTTAGTGGAGATAGGAAAAGATGAGCCTAGTACATCACTAGATGCTAACACACTAAGAACTTGACGGGAGGGATGTCCAAGACGACGATGCCAGAGTGAGGGTGACACAAAAATGGAAGCAAAAGCATGTTTGGCAGTAGACCCATTGCTAGAAGCAAGACCAAGCTTAATGGGATAAAGACCATCCTCACATGGGCCCTGAAAAAGAACAACACCCGTCTTTAAGTCACGTACGACAAAACCCCATGGAAAGAACGTTAGACTAACAAGATTATCATGTGTAAACTGAGCAACCGACAATAAATTTTTCCGAATTGCTGGAACATGCAAAACTTGGGATAACCGAAAAATGAACGACCCGGACTTAAAGGAAATATTACCAGTGTGCGCAATAGGGAGGGTCTCACCATTACCCACAACAACCTTGTCATTAGAACCATACCCCGTAGCCGAAGTAATGGAACGAGAGTCACTTGTCATATGGTGAGTATCACCAGTGTCCGGATACCATGTAGGGTCAGAAGGGGAAGCAATGTGCATGCCAGCGAAAGCTCGAGAGATGTCATCATCAGAACGAGGCGCTCGAGGACACAACGCAGCTATATGACCAAATTGATTGCATGACCAACATTGAGGGCCACGAGTAGCAGGACCGGGTCCAAGTATGCCAGGGCGTTGATGTGTAGCACGCTGACCATAGCGACCAGCACCACCATGCATAGTAGAACGACCACCACCATAAGTACGAGGAAGTCGATTGCTACTTGAAGTGCCATGAGGGCGGGAGGACAGATTACCACGTCCCTGAGATAGATTACTACCAGAATTATGTGCGGAGTAGAAAGCGGAGGGAGCCAAAGTAGCTTGAGACATAGCATGTTTGGATTCATAAACCAGAAGACGAGCACGTAAATCGTTGAATGACGGTAGAGGAGGGAAGTTGGTCAGCGCCAAGACAAGAATCTCATATTCAGGCCCCAAGCCATTTAGTACATAAGTCACCAAATCATCATTCTGAACAGGTTGGCCTATAGAAGCCAATTGATCTGCCAAGTGTTTGGCAAGACCCAGATAGTCCGAAATTGTTTTAGTACCTTTCTGAAGAGACAGCAACTGAAAGCGAGTATGGGTAGAGTTGGCAAGGGATTGTTGAGAAAAATTTTGACGAAGATGCTCCCAAATCTCACGAGAAGTAGACAACCCGACGGTCAAAGAAAGAACAGGCTCTGTAAGCGTAGCACGCAACATGCTGACAAGTGTTTGATCAGTCTGGTACCACACCAGGTAGTCGGGGTTGGGAATGCTAGTAGTTACAGGAGGCACCACTGTGGAGGAGGCTGAATCCGCAGAAGCATTTGGTGAAGTGGCATGAGTGGTGGTGGTGAGAAAGGAAGGAGGGCACGGGTGTGTTCCATCTACAAAACGCCAAAAGTTTTGGCCAATCAAGAATGGCTTAACTTGACTTTCCCAAGGTAAGTAATTAGACTCAGAAAGTTTGACAGAAACTAGTGTAGAAATATTTGGGATGGGAGATGAAGGAGAGGAAGTTGCGGAAGCCATGGAAAAAAAGGATCAGAGGCTCAATACCATGTGAAGTTTCAGATTTTCTTTAACTTTCGGGGTAAACTTTACAAGCCTTTATACACCAAGAGGTCTACAGAATATAGGGGTTCCTATAGCAGCTATATAATACAATTAAATACAAAGTACATTTAAATGATAACAACTCATCTTGACTGCCCTAACAGCTCATCCTAACTGCCCTTGTCTACACAAATAACAAAGGGATCTTTCAAATCGAATCGAGTGATATTGCTTAGAATTTTGGGAGACAATTTCCCCTCCTCTCGTCGACATGGAATCCGAATCTGAAAACTTTTTTATTCGATTTTGCGGAGAAAGAACAGTCATTTTTCCTTTCTTTTCTACGGGTGCTGCGTGCATTCCCTCCGCAACACCCAACAGCCTAAGCTGAATCGATTTTGCGGGTAAAGAACAGACGCAGATGCTGGCAGCTATAGCTAGGTAACGGCACCGTCGGAGGTTGTTCCACGGAACAGAGAAAATAGAAAATAGGTAATATGCGTCTGTTTACAACACTTGATATCATGGATCGGGTTATGCCAGTTTAGGCAAGGTTCAAAGTTTAGTCAACGAGATATCATGGACTGGGTTATGCCAGTTTAGGCAAGGTAAGGTTGAAAGTTTTAGTCGAGGAGGGTACTTCACTAAATGATTATTGACAATTAGAAGAAGCGATATATTAATGTCACACACAATTGATTTAATGTGAGGTGAAGGGAAATCCGAAATTGAGTGCAGATGCGAGAAAAAGATTGATCTGATCAACTTGAACAAATTTAAGTAGTCATTTCGACAATCAATACGATTAACTTATTTGTTACGAGTGAAGAATGAGTTGCAATCTGATTTTGGACCTAGCTTATGAAAATGAAAGAAGAAAAGGAATAAAAAAAAATAGAAAAGTACGTTTGAGTTGGTTAGAATAATGTTGTACATCTTAATTCAAACCCTCGTCTCACAATAGTTTAGAATAGATGGGAAAATCGAGATCGAACTCAATGAAAACGTGATCATAGAATTTTATTTGTCGCTTGCGAGGAGCTCAATTGCCAACAAGGCTCTTTCGGTAGTAGTTTAGTGTGTGTTTCTCTTTATATACCATATGATATTTCGAGACATATAATGGATTAAATAAGAAAAATGCGCCATCTACCAAGCGAATACAACATTTACTTGTTTTGGGTGATATTTTTTTTGTGTTACCACAAGTCTTGTTTTTTTTTTAATTACATAAACGTAGAGAAAATAACATTACTAAATAATGCACATGAATTTTTAAATTGAATTAAATTTCGGCTGCTCATTACAAACTACACTGTAGCTTTTCATCCTTGGATTTCAATCTATCTACTTCGTTCAATCAGCGCCCACATCTGCAAACCATCTTACTCAATGGCTCTTCGGAAGACATGTGCAAACTTTGCTGGGTATGCCAAAAACAGGTAATATCTTTTGCTCTCGATCTCTCATTTGGAATTATTTGCATGGGTGTTGTTGGTATTGAGTTACTGAAGCATGTCTTTCTGTTCATGAGCAAACAAATAATCTTTGTTTCGGATTTTGGGTCATTTCTCTTAAAATAATAGAAATTAAAATTAAAGTATTTAGTTAGTTGACTTAGTTCATTAATATTAGTAGGATTTCAAATGTCAGTTTGTTAGTGTTTGGAATATAAATATGAATGGCTTAAATTATGCTTGAAGAGATTAGAGTGTGTTATCAGTGTGTGACCAGAATAGCAGTGGTCTTAGAGGTTGTAAAACCAAGAATCACGACAATAAGTGTACCGGTAGTGGCTTTAGAGATTATAATCAAGGTTTCAGATATTATCCCTCCAAATCATGCTGCACCTGCTATTCTTGGATCACCACCACTGCAATGTCAAAATCATTCTCTTCCAACCATTTTTTGTCCAAGACAGGACATTACGCTGTTAATTGCTTTATAAACATGGTCTTTAGTCTCTTAGAACCATGAATCCTCCAAAAACCTTGTCAACATTGTGGGAGGTAACTGTCCACTACTGCCACAATGAACAGCAGTATGGCCAAACCTCTCACAATATTGACAAGATTTTTGGAGGATTCATGATTCTAAGAGACTCAAGACTTAGGGACATAATGTCCTGTCTTTGGACACATTCGGCAGGCAAGAAATGGTTGTAAGGGAATGATTTTGATATTCCACCATTGGTGAAGCAAAAATAGCAGGTGC